ACAACTTTCTTTTCTTTGAAACTTTTGAACCATCAACTTTAGAACCATACTCAAATGGTAATAAAGTACTACATACAGGAGGGAATTTTATTTTTATATTTGTCTTGTAGTATATTTAAATATTATGTAGCCACTCGTGTATGTTTTTTAAAGAGGCATTGTATCTACAGCTTTTTTTAATCAACTGGGTGTCTGACACATGCATTACCAAGCTAGCGGGTGTCCAAACTAGACAGTTTCACATCTGAATGCCACCTATGCATGAACATTTGGAGAGGACAGCTTTGCAGGACTATGGGGGAAAACAGGGTTGATTTGGATAGCTCTTTTAAAAGAGTTGGCACAGACATGATGGACCAAATGTCCTCCTTCTGTTCTGTATAATTCTCTAATGATTCTATGATTTCCCTTTGTATGGAATGGAATGTGCATTCTCTCGCTGAAGGAGGGTGAGGCTATTGACTACAGAGAGTATCCACAGTAAAATATTTAATTTTGCAGACTAGGATATAAGAATCTGAATTTCAAATGCATAGGTTTTTTAAAAAATGATAAAACACGGTATTCAGTAACTTTGCAAGCCACTATTTCTGATTACATTAAATACTTTCATCCACATTGCTTATTTGACCTGAATTGTGAGGGTTAGGGATCAAATCTCTGTCACTAGACAAATTGCAAGACAATATATCCATCTGTCTATTGTAATCAAATGTTTTGGGGAAAGCTATATATTTGGATAACTGTTTCATTAAAGTTAATAACTACAGTCAGTAGACTGTTCACTTGCACACAAACCACAAAAATGGTCACTCAACTCTCCGAGTGTGGATTTCATGCTGAACAGCTGGTTATAATTACAATCAGCTCTTGAAACCAGTTTAAAGAGTCGTTTGGTTATTTTCATGCCTTTGTTTCCCTTCCTCATTGATATGTATTTTATACAGTATTTATTGTTGGTTCTAATGTAAGTAGTGGAATGTTAGTTGTGCCCTAAAATACCAGAACGTGGATTTTATAATAAGAATGTTTTGTAAAATCAACGTTCAATAGAGGGCCGCAGTTACTGTGCAATGATAGCTCCAGTACGAGGTGCTGTTTGTAGGATTGGTGGCATATCCAGTAAATATTAATCATCCTTACAAATGGTACAATATGTTGTTGTTGTTGATGTAATGATTCAATAGCACCTTGCATTTATATAATGCCGTTCGCATAGCCTAATGTCTCGCGCTACTTTACAGGGATGGTGGTGATGGGGGTGATGCTAAGCGAGGGGATTACAGAATATCCTGTGAAGCGCTTTGTCTCAACGATGTGATAAGGCGCTATGTCAAATGCACGGATTATTACAGGACGTGTAATAATTGTTACATGTGGCTCTTGAAGCTAATTAGGCAATGCGTCATTTGAAAGAGAATTAGACTTGGGGAGAATAACAACATTGCTAAATGACGGCTTAAAGCAGAGAAAAGTTAAGAATTGAAACAAAATATTGCTGGGAGAGGAACTGAACCACATATGCCAAAACTGTACTGACAAACCATTATTCATAGGCAACATATGTTGGACACACATGTTGCACCATTAACAAGAGGTCTGTCTGTGCTTTTGCATGCACGCAGCTAATGCCAATTCTGCATCTTGCACAATTTATCCAGCTTATTGGCTTGTTTCAAAAGAATAACCAAGCCATGACTAACTTCCACCATACTGAAATATTGCCAACTGGATCCCAACTTTTTCAGAGTTGTAAAACACACAGATCTGTATCCGTGCAAACAGAAAGAAAATATAACAACTGGAGGCGTTTATAGTATACGTTTAATAGCTTAGTATAACAATAAAATACAACATGTGAGACAAATTCAAAATATAGTTTTGCATCATAATAAAAGATGTCAGAAGTGTTGAACGAATAAAATCCTTAACAAATACTCGGTAGAAATTGACTTAGGTATACATTTCTCTATGAAAGTGCCACCAAAGTGGGACATTTTTTGGTGTCCACCACACATCATCAGTTACCTACATCTTGATTTATTTTATGTGAATTTTGTCGAACTGTGCACATCTACTATTAATTTTCAGATTGTAAATCAAGGCTGTGTACGTCAATGGCAGTGTAATACTCTTTCCATGTGCTGAGCCTTCAGTGAGAGAAAGAGAAGCAAGGGACAGCTCACAGGGAAAGGGAGATGAACTTGAGCCAAAACAACCTGTTCCTCTGCACTTGCTAGGGCCAATAAAATGGCACTTAGCAGAGGCTTGGTTGGTAATGGTTCATGATGCAGGTGAATATAAAAAGGGGCAGTCGATCAGAAATAAAATGTTTGTGGGAAAATTTACAAGACTGCAGTGAATCTTTTGGATGGCTCACTTGTCCAGGCAGCTGAACTTTTGAATTTAGGTTTGTAATCACAAGTTGCTGTCAGTTCTTGGCCTGGATATTAGAAGAAAGAAGAAAAATGACTCATTTAAATTCGAGGTTGAAAGAGGAAAAGTTTGATATTAATGTCTGGCCCTCCTTAATACATGCCTCAAAATAGTTCTTCATAGAGAAGTTCACAACTGAACAAAGATCCACGTTGCTCAATGTCCTTAAAAGGAAGAAAAAAGGGAGAAACACAAAACAATTCCAAACAACGTCAATAATGGGTGACATGTGGATTGGTGGCTTATTAGTGGAGAATGACCTTATTACGATACATACCCTTTTGTTTAGTTCTTAGTCTACAGTAAATACATTTATCAACCAATGAACACTACCTTAAATATCTTTGGTTTGCTCATTTTGTGTGCCCTTTGAGAGAGGCATTGTGTTGAAATATCCCATTACGTCACAGATGGAAAATATTGAATCATTTACAATAATTGCAACTGAGTGGAACAAAAGGATAGGAGGACACAAGTATAAAAATCTTAGCATTATTAAATGTCTGGTTGAATACAATGGTGGACTTCCCAATCCCATCAGTATCTCGTATCACTGTCAAATTGCAGACTTACTTAGCTTGTTTGTTTTTGACATAATAAACAATTGCAGATCACTTGGCTTGGAGTACTTCCATAAAGTATTACAATTATTATAATTATTCTGGGTTGTAGTTTCATATCTGACCACATTTTGAAGACACTTCTCAGGGGTTAAAATGATCAAAAGTTTACACAGAATCTTTGGCATGAAAAGAACCAATTTTCAATGAAGCCTGTGATGCTACACTACCATTTAGTGGTTTCCATGCGCTCAAATTTTAATCAGAGAGTATTTTTGTGAAAAGTATAAAACCCTTCAGTGAAAAAACCCTTAAGGTACGAAAGTTTCCAGCCAAGATAAACAAATTTGTTTCATTGATGTCACCTCAAGTCCTGGGCATTAAAAAAACATGATCTAACCTGGAACAATAACCAACAGCTGCAGAGATTTTATCAATTCAAAATCTAATTTTAGAAACATCTTTTTTTTCGGTTGAAATCTGCCTTTTTAACTCTCCTGTGGCCCTTAAGGTCATTTTGCCTTAAAATTTAAGATTTTAAATTTAAACCTTTTCCGGATTTTTGTAAAATCCATTAATTTGTGCAGAATTGTGTGCGTGTGTGGGGGGGGGGGGGGGGGGGGGGGAGTCGATGACACACTTTAAATTCAGCCTTAATTTGGAAGTCAGTTCTTTTCAACAACTGAACAACTGGCTTTAAGGTCCAAATTAAGATTTTTTTCTGTAATTCTGCACAAGACAAAATGATCTTACAGGCAAGGCCTGAGTAGAATTTTAGAGTTCTTTTCTGAAACTTGAAAGTTTCCAACCATGGGAAAAACTGGCACTGACTGTACTTTTCAAATCAGAAACTCCTGAAGCAGAAGAGTGCAACGTAGACTAAAAATAAACATTATGAAGAACAGAGCTAAGGTCTTCACACCGCTGTGGAGGATTAGTTACAGTGAGCATTATTTCCTTAACTTTTTATACAAAAAGACAGGCAGCAAGATCTAAGAGGAAATGTTAATTCTAATAGGAGCTGAGAAAAGGTTATGAAAGCTTTGAAATATGATAATGTAATCAACATGGCCTGGCTGTTACTAATTATTTCCTTCAAAGACTGGAGTGCTCCTATCATACGAAAGGACAAGTGTTTAGTTATTAAACTATGAAAAAAGGCAACCTTCAACTTTTTGGTAAATGTATCTATCTTTATTTTCACAATTTGACTTTAAGGGATTATCCCATTATAAACGCACGTGACTAAGACTCATTAACCTTCTTACATCAGCAAATTAACTGATGATCAAAGAATTACCCTTAATTAAACTACATTTATTGGTTCAGTGAGGGTTGGGGGAGTAAGCAATCTCATCTTAACACCATCCAGCTCTGACATAAAGCACGGTGATTTTGCTTGACACAGTTATACAGCTAGGTACATAAGATTTATTTCCAATACTAGAGGCAGCCAACTCTACATTTGTAGGAAATACTTGTAAAAGCTAGTTCCTGTCAATTACATTATTACATTTCAAAGAGGCCATAACCTAAAACAAGTGTATGTAGTGTTTTTGAATGAGCAGTTATCACAAAGCGAGGCTCACAGAAACTTTCCTTTCAGCTCAATTATAATTAAGTCTAAGGTTCCCTTTTAAAGTAATTTGGTGCAGCATGTTTACATGCATTAAGGATTGAGGTTAGGGCAGTTCTTAATTGTGAACTGCTGAATAATAAAGTGATACTTGGGTTCAATCAAAATAATTTTGCAAATGTTTCAGGTACGCTTTGTTGCCAAGGATATTGTTTCCATGTTATTTACAGATTGTCAGATATATCTTTGGCAAGTTTTGATATCTTAAGATTTAATTGTGACCATCCTAAGGTAAGATACTTTTTCATAACACAAAAGCAATAGGTTGGACATTCACAATGGCACAGAATAAGTTAAAAGCACCAAGAAAACAATCAGCAAACACATTACATTCTTAATTTCAATATACTGTAGTTCACAAAACCTTACCATGACCTGAAGAAAAACATTTAGCTTTAGTTCACTCTGAACGTTTAACTTTGCATAACTGCATCTATTCAGACTTGAGACACAGCATCACCCAAAGAAAGAAGCAGTGAAATGGAGTGATCTTGTATTTTTTTAAAAAACAGAATGTACATTGGAGGTTGCATTCAACAGGATTTCAGGAACATAGTTTATATCAAATAGTACTGATTGGAATAGATTGAAGTCTTGAAGATGGAATGTCAAAAGATGGCCTAAGTGCATATGAAAACCCATCTTTGATCAAGTGGGATGAGGCCTGGAAGCAAATATCAGAAGTGTGTTTTGATCCAGATAAAGAATAAAGAATCTTTGTGTTATAAAAAAGATCAAATTCATAAAATGAGGTTTACGGGGTCTGTGAAGAGCTACACTTCCTGTTCTTGGTTAAAGTATAAAACAGGCATGCTACAAATATTTTGGCTGCATTTCACCACTTTTGAGAACTACATCAGGTAGCAAAAACAGGTCGATCGATACTCACTACACGGTTGAAAAAAACTGTGATTGTTTCATAAGAGAATCTGCAACTATCACTGGAATAAATGCCAGATAGAAAAAATCGATAGCACGTTGAAAACCTATAATGTTAGGGGCAGGTGTGGCAGAAAATGCTCAGTGACTTTCGTTGGAGCTGCATACGAGGAGATCTTTGTGCAAATTAGGGTTTTGACTGTGTCTGTTTCGACTTCGAACAGACGAGAACATTATATTGCAGCCGGACACCTTGCATTTATGGAGCTGCTGGAGATGTACGGTTTTGTAATGAGCTCTGAAGGTTCCTTTGTTACTGTACATCTTCTGACAGATGTTGCACATAATCGGTGAGCCAGCAGAAGAGGATCGTATCAAGCAGTCAATCGGCTCATCAATTAGACCGGATATGTGGTGCAGTTTATCTTGCACTATCAAATCTGAACTCTCAAAGCCTTCATCATCCTCCACGGGTATACCTTCCTCACTCCCAGCATCCGAATCCCACGAATGGGCACTGCTTCCAGACTTGATGCTAGACGTGGTGCTAAGATCCAACACAGTGCCATCATCAATGCCATTGCCTCCGTGGGCACTGTTGTATTGTTCCTGAGTTTCATTGAGAGAAAATACAAAGTGGTCGCTTCTGCTCCTTCCTTTCAATAGCAATGAAGTCTGTCCGAGATGACCTCTAAACAAAATGTCTTCATAAAATTCTTTTGTTGCCGGGGCGGTGTTCGAGAAATTGTTCTGATTTTCATACGAGTCTTTGGTCAGAAGTTTGTGATGAAGATTGATGTTCGCACTGTGCCTGGGGATGATAGAAGCAGACAGGTCAAATAAATGAATCTCTATTTACAGGAATGAGATTAAAATGCAAAAGGTACAAACCTAACCTCTGTTTTTACTGATTTGCTACTGAAATACCTTGTTCCACTAAACACCAGCCATCTATTGGTACCTTACCCAAGTGGCTGCTTTTCACGTGCAAGTCAGTGTTGAGCTATTTGAAGGGCATCAAAAGTGCTTCACAGGATTTACTGTAAAGTGCATCGACTGCACATCTTGCAGCCAATTTGCACACTGAAACATCCCACAAACAGTCATGAAGTGAATGACTAATTTCATCTATTGGATTGTTGGTCCGGAGACCGGGAAAAAATTCCTTCTCTTTTTGAAATAGTTAAGCCTGGTGATGGGTTTCCGCAAGTTTCAGCTGACCCTCAAAAAAAGCCATGGGATCTTTAATCTCCACCTGAACAGGCAGATGGGACCTTGGGTTTATGTCTCATCCAAAGGACCGCACCTCAGACAATGCAACTCTCCTCCCAATGCTGTATTGGAGTGTCAGCCAAGACTTTAACCCACAACCTTCCAACTCCACATATGCAATTCCAAAAAGGGTCACTGAACCACAACTAGGAGTGCAACCCTTGGCATGTTCCTCTTGCTTCTCTTCCAGGAATGCTAAGTTTGTGTGTACACATTCCCACTATTTTACCCAGCTGTGAGTTCCTTACGCTGCACACAATGAGTAATTGATTCTGTAATAACCCAGTGTCTATGGCTCAGTATCACAAATTAAGCCAGAAATGTGATGTTTACTAACTTTAAAAAAAAGTTCCACTGATATAATCTCCACCTAGAGATATTGTTTTCAGAATTTGTCTTTATGGATACTTCCATTTTTGTCTTGTGTTGAATATGTATAAAAAAAGAAGATATTGCACAAATGTCCCTTAAAAGACCTGAACTGTCCGAATCTGCTCCCTATTCTCACCATATAAAATAGCCCTTGAAGCCAACGAAGGTGGTGAAGCCAAAATTCCAATAGGATTGTCTCAGGCACAGTTATGTTTTTGTACCTGGTCCAAGCACAAATAGTATTTGCCAAAGAAAAGTCCGTTCTCAGTTTTTTTTAATATGAAAACACGCAATTCAAAAAGTGATTTAAGAATATATGAATGTGATTTGCGAATCAGGTTTTTTTAAAAAAGTTTTAGGAAGTTTAGAAACACAAAAAAAAGCCAACGTTTCACTGACCTGTCTCTACTGCGCCGTGAAGGGAAAGCTGCGTTACAACCTTCAATTGTGCACATGTGCATCTCCTTCAGGTGCACATTTTTGTAATGTAATTTAACACTGTAAGAACTTTTAAACACCTTCTTGCAGACGTAGCAATAGTTAGGATTAGAGGTGCCCTGATTATCCCACATATTTGTGGCTGCCTGTGGGCAAATGCAGGCACTCACTGGTGGACCGTCAAGGGACGGCAAGCTAACTCTTTGATTCAGTAATAAACTGCCGAGGCCTCCATTTATCAGCCTCTGCTGCATTTCATTATAATTGGGATTATCATCTTTGTTTGTAGAATGTTCCTCTTGCAACCAACCTTCTGATTTAGTTACCACTTTCCCGCCATTGTCCAATTCAGTCTCCCTTTGCCCATCCTCAATGGATGAAACTATTACAGTCTTTGCACAAGGATTTCCATTTCCGATGCATTGCAGTCCATTCTCCAGCTTTCCATTCCCAGAATTGGCTTGAACATTAGCAGTTATTAAATCTTGCGGCTGCACTTTAAGACTCTGTTTTTCTCTGTCAGGCGAATACTCTCGGCTGCTTTCAATCTTTTCAGCAATACGTATTTCAAAATCATGTTTCAAGCTCTTAAACTCAATCTCACTTCTAAGTTGCAGAGGTGTGTCATCGTCTGAGATACCATTTTCAGCGCCGTCTATTTCTTCCACAGTTTCTTTCTCGATCTTGACAGGCATGCTGGATTTACGGGATTTCTTTTTTGGCACGACATCAGTTGATGGTTCTCCAGCTGAAAGTTGTTCTCGGACAGAAGCGTGTACAAGAGGCAAGGAAGGAAGTGGACTTGGAGTGATGGCGAGTTCAGCTGGTGTTACAAGACTCCGATAGAAAGGCAGAACTGGCTGTACAGTCTTCAGGTTTTGAAACAACATCCCACTGTGTCCAGCATGACAGACATTGCTCTGAACATGATGTTGAAGATTTGATTCTGCACAATTATTATCGAAACCTGTAACAGGTCGAGTGTCTGTGCCAAGATAGTTATTGATGTCAAGCCTTTTGTCATTTAGTTGAATGACGGTTGGTGAAGAATCGCTTCTCAGGTCCTTGTCACGATTGTTTTTCATCATTGGCATGTGCAGTCTGGGATTAGGATTGGAGCTATGTCGATTGCGACTACGCAGGGAACTGAAGACCATATTGCAACCCTCGATTGTGCAGCGATGTTTGATTTTCAGATGAACAGCATTGTAATGGATCTTCAATGTGCCTTTATCATAGAAGGTTTTATCGCATGCACTGCAATAAACACGCCCTTTCTTTGTTGCTGAATGAGGCTTTTCCACAGGCTTAATTTTGGTGGGAGAGGGCAGATGTGTGACTTCAGGCTCTCGGTTTAGTATGACACCAGCTGAAGGGGAAGCGACAGGACTACACTCACTTCTACTATCGTTCTTCAACTCCTGATTGGTACCGTCTTGGGAACTCTTGCTGCTGTCTTCAGCACTCTGAAATGAAGCAGGACTGGTACTTAAAAGATGACTCTTACTGGTAGGAATTTGAATATCTGGTTTGGTTTCCTGTGACCTATCCTCAGATTGATCAACGAGAAATCCATTGGGGGAGGTCCCTAACAGAGGCATGGGGATGGGATTAAAAAACTGAAAAGGTAACATAAAAGCCAGGTTATTCACAATGTTCTCAAAGTGATGAATGTTGTTTGAGTTTACTTTTTCCACATGAGTGGATAGGCCAGGGTTCCTTGTTTGGTTGCTGCTTTCGATAAATGCTCTGATATCTGAATTCGATTTGGTTGATGAGATTACTATGGAGTGACCCTCTTTCTCCTGAATAGCCATAAGTTCGACAATAGATTTAGTCTCTCCAAAACGAAGGAATTGGTGCAAAGAGACCATTTCTTCCTCGTACGTCATTATCGTCCAACGATCAAGTACCTTCCCTGAGACATCCTGCAACAAAAAACATTTGGATGGATTAAAAGCAACAATAAATATTGTAAGGCTTTGTCATTCATAATTATAAACCCCCTCCCTCCCCTGCAATTTACTTTAGTTTTTCTACATGGTATGAAAGGGCGTATTATACAACTGACAACCCATTAAAATACACCTTGCACCTTTGCTCAAAGCAATGTTCAATCAGTTCATCCCTTGACCAGCAACCAGCAACTCACAAGTCTCAGCCTGTCACGCACACCTGTCTTGATACATTTCTGACAAAGAACGCATCCAAAACATTAACCTCTCTCCTGTCTGTCTTTCAGATCTTAGTTGACTTGCTACAGATTTCCAGCACTCACAAAATCTTCTTGTGTCACTCAAAACTCTCTTGCCTTAGAATTGGCCCATTTTGTCAGCTTTAATTCAGGCCACTAGATGGAGTATTGTGCAGGAGGAAGGTATCCCATCTTGCTGAGGGAAAGTGGGAGGCAAATGCAGATTGTTAAACTCAATCTAATGAGTATGTTTATGCCTCTTTGATGTGGTATTGGGCTAGACATTTTGCCCAAACTGTTCCATTTTCACAGCTGTGGGAAGTTGCATCGTGAGTAACTGCTTGAACAGGAAAAATGGTGCAAAATAAAAAGAGGTATGTGGATGTTCAACCACAGGATGCAAAGTGCCGTTAACAGTTCAATACTGCAGCCCCTTGTAGAACCAAAACCTGTAGAGGGGTGAAGCAAAGCTCTGAGTCTTCTGATTGAGACAAAGATACCTTCAAGATCAATGTGTTTGGACTCTCTCCTGATCTTTCAAGATTCAGTCAGTACAATTTTGGATGATGTTCAAGATGACACCTGTGGCTTTGACCCAAAATAAACTTTGGTGTACATTGCCTGGGATCATATGATATTAGAATCTGTCTATTCCCATGTTATGCAGCATCAGAAACAAAAGTAGACACACCTTACTTTCAATTGAGAACATACAGGATAGAATCCGCCTCGATCAAAATGGATATTTCTTATCGCCAGTAAAATGCATTATATCCCATAAGTATGTCCTCTGACTTGGGAGCTACTTTTTAAAGTTTTAGACATCAGAGTGAATTTCAAACTGCACTATGTAATGGACCCCTTTACAATGTCCTTCGTTGCTTTTCCACTAACTCTCTAGTTGTACAAAGAGTATTTTGGAGATGGAGTATTTTGCTACAGTATGATCTACATATCTGACTGCCTTGCTGAACTGGAGAAACATGCTTTTAACATTGGCAAATATTCTTATTTTGCAATTTACAACAATAAAAAATGTCATCATCAAATAACTGACTTTCTTCAGTATCAATTCATCTGTAACTAATCATCAGTAATGGCTTTTAAATAAAATAGTTTTGCCTGTAGCAAATTTCAAGAGGAAATTAAATTGCATTTGAATTTGCTACTTTATGTAAAACAAATATATATATATATATAAAGCAGTGCTGCAAAACTGAAGAACAAGATCACCTATGTCAGAAAATGCAGAGATTTGTTTGTGCATAATGATGGAAAGAAATGTCTGCTATTGACAGAATAAAGATACCAATGAGTTTATATTGAGCCAAAAAGTAAAAATCTGCATTTTTTTCCCCACACAAGATTCACAACTTCCTCATCCCTCTAACCTAATCACAGCCGAATAACATTTATGCTTCATTAAATGTTTTTATGTGACTTTTTATATTGCATCAATTACCTGCAGTATATAACCACGAATGTAATCCTGGAGCGTCCATCCCAGTGAATGCAAGATCTGAAGTACTTCTTCCTGTTTAAGTACACTGAACAGGCGATCCAGCAGAATTTTGAGGCGGATTGGAACAGCCTGGGTACCATACAGCATTAAGCTACTAATGTCAAAAACCACATTGGATTGGACTATCTCCACTTGACTGTGCTGATATAGGTGATGGACACGTAGTTTGTCCAGGGCTGAAAATTAAATCAGCAAACAAACATTAGTATTAATACACTCTCCTGAATTATGGTAAGGATTGTTAAAAAACAACCATATTGACAGTTGAAAAGTGTTTGGAAACAATGATGGGCTGAATTTCCATGTCGCTTGATGGGTCATGCTTTTGGTATTGTTGGCTACTAGTAGGATTTCCCCATTACAATTGCTCATCTCAAAAAGCACTGCGTGTAACTCCGACTGAAATTTTAGCCCATGAATGTTTTGCAAACAGTCTTTCAAGTCAATCATATGATCAGCTTGTTGCCTCATGATTTTACTTAAGATACAGAGGAATATTAACCTAGGTAGCACTTCTACAGTAAACTCCTGTTAAGTTGGCCCTTGCTTAACTTGTCACTAACCATTTAATTCATCATGTCAATATCCCAGCATATTTATGGATTTTTATATATATGCTTAAATCGTCACTCCTGATAACTCATCACTGGGCCTTTTTTCCTTGGAGCGACAACTTATCAGGAGTTTACTGCATTTACCTCCCATTACTGTTGATGCAAATAGAAACCATTGGGACAGACCAGCAATATGAACTCTGGCTGACCCACAGTAAAAGGTCTACCAATACCATATTCTCTCATGTTGCTCCCACTGACTTGCTGCTGACTGCTAATCCTAACTAACAAATCATTAATCCGGATTGTGATCAGTCTGGGCCTGCTTGGATTAGTGACTCTGTACTGTATTGTATTTTACTGTAAGATAATACAGGCTAATTTTTTTTCCGTTTAACCGTTTATTGAAAGAGTTTCCTAAAAAATAAATGCCACTGGGCGGATATTCTGAGCATCGAGATCAGCTCTGTATGTTCACATCCAAAGGTAGACGTGCCAAATACCACCGACAGCAAAACATACAAGTTATGGCAAGACATTAATTGGATGTGTGTTTAATTCAAGTGCTTCGCTTACCATGTACCACCCACCCATGTTTACATTGGTCACATTGACGCAAGTTGATCTTTCCTGGTTGAAAACATTCACAGTTGCAGTTCACCAGTGTGCAGCGGATGGCCTGTAAATAAAAAAAACAATGTGCCAAAAGTATTAATTCCTCATTAAACACTTATACCACAAGTTGCAAGTTACCATAAAATACATGCCTGCAAAACACACATTTTTGTAGTATTGTCCTGTATAAAATTACATTACAACATTTTAGAAATCAAAATTTAAGCAATGAACGTTTCACTTGTTTAACTGTTTGCCAAAATTCTTTATAATTTCGCTAAATTGAAGCTGCCTGGGTTGCCTTGATTCAAATTGGAGGCCCAGTGACCTTTAATTAGGAATTACCATATAAAAAAATACCTTATTCAATACAGATTGTTAAAATCATTCATCACTTTATACAAACACTTTCTTAGGCTGTGGCGCATGGGAAAACCATGCACATATTCAGTCTCTTGTTACAAGTAAATACTCCAGGTTTTATGTAGCAAAGAGTTGGACGCATTTGAATCTCGCAGTGAAAATCAGTACTTTGGCAGACATTGTTTCTAGCAGTTGGTTCATTTATCTTTCAACTGCTCCTCAGTTCTGCGTGCTATTTTGGACTTGAATTAATGCAATCCTTCAGAACATGTTTAAGCAATTGCAATGTCTTTAAAAACACAACACACTAACATAATTTCCAGGGTTAAACATGAAGCTGTCTGAATTAAATTTTTACAATTTAGTAGTACGCAAATACATTTTAGTTTCTAATAAGAGTGACTCTCATTAAAGATCAATTACTAAAATTCTTTCCTCCCGACTTGCCAACACCTGAAAGATACGCAATTTTCATTTGAAACGATAAAACAATCTGTGTGACCGAACTTCTAAAAATGGTTAAAATCCTAATCACTATTAGGTCCACAATGAGCCTACAGAAATTAATATAATCCCATTACACAGAGGACTTCCTTGTTACTTCTAAAGCATATTAGTAATTATGGAAAAAACATCCATGCTATTGTTTTAAGTGTTGAAGCTGGTTTATGTAGTTTGTAATCTCGGTTATCTGGTTTTAAACAACAAAGGATTTGCTTGAGACTGTGTTAACAGCACTTGAATGATCTATCAGTTCATGTAGATAACATGGAGATTTGTGCATTGATTTGCTGTTTGTTCCCTGTAGCTTATGAAGCTGATTTTCAGCTATGTGTTTTTTTCCCCCATTGAAGGTACAGTACAGTGCAGTGAAGAAAAAGCAAGAATCTCAGGGAGGGCAAGTGAAAACCAATCACTAGGGACACTCACTCCTACATTTGATTCAAATCTGTGTTCCACACCAGCAACTGTATATTGATGTTTCCAAGGGCTGAAGATTTCACTGCTGCTATCTAAACAAATACAATGCTTTTCAAAGCCATTCAATCCCTCTACCATTCTCATTTCATCAATTATTTTATGCACTGCGCTGAAAGGGCTTGAATTCAGAAACTTAGAACATTTGTTTTAACTCAGTTTTCTACTGATTGCAAACGTCAAAGAATTCATACATCATCTGAGTTGGCAGTGTCATCCACAATGTATAATGTCCACAGTCTAGAAGCACTAGAAGACTAGCTGTGTTTTGAAAAAAAAGTTTGGCTATGTTCATAGCCACAGAAAGTCTGAAAAACACTTGCCTATTGATAATGATGACAATATTGTTTTTTTAACAAAATGGTAATGCAACCCAGATCATGTAAGTAATCTGGGTAATATTAATCCAATTAAGGTAATAATGTAAATACTAATGTTTAACTTGTACCTAACCTGAAGAAAGCTTGGAGAACTAACAGAACTTACAGAACTAACAGAAGAAAGCTTGGAGAAATTCATGTTTTTACTTAACGTGCAGATTCTCTCATTAGTTTGCCATGAAATGTGAAACAGATGTCCAGGACTCTGATACTTATGGAGGATGTTATTTCACAAAGCAATGTTTAAACAATTCTTCAAGGCAGAAAGAAACTCTACAACACATTGATTCATGAAACATATGGACAGGACCTTGGTTACTACTCGAATGCATGGCTAAAAAGCAACTGCACACAAATGAGCCAATATATATACCAATATAATTTAAGCTGCAATAAGTTTTGTGTAGTAAACTAGAGAAATTCCACCCAGGTGTAGATTTGCTCTATTTATTTAGCATTTTAGAGCACTTAGAATTTGGAAAATTGCTGAATTCAGTCTGAACTTTGAAATAGTTTTTTTCTGCAGTTCTTAAAAGAACCAACAGAAAACCTACTTTAATAAAAGTCTGTATTTAAGAATTTGCCAAATTCTGACCACGCTAAAATGCTACCTAATATAAATCTAGGTCCAGATAGAATTTCTCCCCATAAGTGTCTAAAGTCTAACAGGTTCATTTAGCAGTCAAAATTACACATCAGTAGAAGTGTAAAATGGACAGTGAGTCATTGATTGAACATTAGCAGTTCCTGAGTTGATTGTTGTTCCACATTTCCTAACACGAGAGAAGTCCCTTGCTTTTACGTTCACTGCTGTGGAAGTGGGATAATGATATTTCCTTCACAAAGTGCATGTGAAAGATGATACATTTTGGTTGTTGCTGGGTTGCTGAGATGAACAAAACAAATGTTGGGTTGGGTGAACACTCTCCTTTAGAAGCCCAAAGATTTAGCCCCCAAAAAGGAAATGAAAATCTTCTCTTTAAGATAATCCTTGCATTTGATATAGTGCCTATTACACTGCAATGTCTCAAATTGCATTATAATAATTACTGTTAAGCTTAGTGACAGTGCGTATGCACACAAAATACAACATCAATTTGCACACAGCATAACCTACAAGCCACCAAGATGTGAATGACAAATTTAGCTTGAGGATTGTTGACTAGGACACTTTGAGAAACTCCCATCTCTTTTTGAATAGTATCATTGATTCTGTAACATCCACCTTGACAGATTTGGCCTTAGTTTTAAAGTTTCATTCGCAGGATAACAATTCTGTCAATGTAGCTCTGCTTTGTTGTCTGAGCTTGAGCTCAAAGGTTGCGACTTGAGGCTTGAACTTACAATCATCTGATCCAGAGGTAAGAGTGCTTAGCTCCTGTGAAACGTTACATGAATCCGAGATGCAAACCTATTGGAAATTTAGGACTAACTGTTCTTAGGTTAGGAATGGGACTCAAGGAAATAAAGGGATTTAAATCTTAGACTGGAGTAATGGTAAAGGGTTGTGGGAGGAATTTTTTTTCAGTGGCTTGGTGTGAGCCACTTTCTAGTTTGGAGAGATTAGATGCACAGTCAATTCACTTTACAGTATATTCTGTGAAGCGCTTTGAGACGTCTCAAAGATGTGATAAGGCACTATATTAAATGCAAGGATTATTATTATTATTTGAATGTCTACACATGCAAGTGTTTTCTTGTTTGTACTTTTAGTCAGTCAGTTCCAGGTCAAACCATCTGATTCAAAGTGGTGTCATTAATAGCACTAGAGTCACATTACAAAATACTGTTCCTGTTCATATCTACTCGGTAGAGATTATCTTAAACTCTCAAAAGTAGGGGGAATCCTGCATTACAGTTGATTGTGCCATGTTTGATGCTGTCATGCATACTTAACCAGCACACTACAGTATCACTTTTCACTTCACTTAAAACATTCTGTCCATTTAAAGTTCAGTTAAATGTCATATATATTAACTTTCCATTAAATGCAACTGATGTTATCAACAGTGGAATAAGTATGTGTGCACCTCTTGTGATGCCTTGCAAATTTAGGTCTGGGCTGAATGATTAGGTTTAACCTATTGCTTGGTTCCATCCTTGATTTGGCAACGTCACATACACATTCCTGTCATATTCAATCTGCTGAACTCTTTCTGCTCAGTTACTCAGCTTACCTGAATGTCTCATTCTGGCTGAATATCATGAGCAACGTGGATTATTGAGAGCAGGGTAAAGCCATCTCATACATGTCACACCAGTCAAATTACAATGTTAACAGAAGTGTTCTGCTAGGAATAGGAACTGGACATCCAGAACAAAAAAAACAAATTATTTGCAGAAAGTATTTTGGCAACCCAGTTGGCTGAAATAAAGCAGCCCGGAATTCTGCCATCAATACTAAGAGCCAAGACACGATTACTTTGAAAGGCAAGAAGCATATTGAAATGCTAAAATTTTAAAACTTTACATCTTGCTTCTGGATAACAATCTTTGCATTCAATGTGGTTGTTTGCAGTTCATCGAGATGTCTCAAAGCGCTCCACAGGATTTATGGTAAAATGTAGTGACTGTGTATTTGTAGGTGAATACAGAAGCCAATTCGCATCAGTACTGTAACAGTTATCTTTAGAAATTTTCTTAGAACAATTGTTTTCCTGTGGTTCCATACAATAAAGCACCAATACATTGACCTTGTCAATAGCAGCATGGACCAAGGAAAGCCCACTTTCCCCATCTAGCCTGCTCCTTCCACAGATCATGTCATATTGATCCAAGTATTAAATCCACCCCGCATTACCCCTCAATCTTCTGATGAAACAAATGCTGCCTGATCATCAAAGGTATTCAAGTGAAACAGAAAAATGTTACAGTTAGTTAATGTTACATTGCTTGTTATCCCACAGAAGCATTTCACCAGAAGTCACAGCACAGGGACCACAGAGTAAAATTGTCCGCATTTCGCAATTGACAAACCACTCTAGGCAATAAGCTTTTACCATTGAAATGGAATGGGTCGTCTGTTCTACACCCATGTCAGAGACGAGTCACAAACAAAACAACACTGGGAGGAACAAAGGGAAATTGGGTTTTGAGAAGTAGAGACAAAAAAAGCAATACAAGTTTATACTGGTGACAAGTCAGGTCACTGTGCTCACCGCTGATAACAGCACTTAAGCACTTATCGCCAATGTCAATTAGGCTGGGAAAAAGCAATTTTCCTTGTGCCTGAGAATTTCCAGCAATGGGGTGTTCAGTCATTGTCTGAATAGGTGTAAAGCTTCAGATCTGTGCTATAAGTCCTGCGGTTTTGAAGAGTGCGCTGACAATTCAGTGATTAGCA